AATACTGCAAATATCAGAATAAATCTTGCATCGTTGGAAAGAGAAAATAATTGAGATAAAATAATATATAGAAATTTTTTTATTGGTTGTACCAGTTTTTTGCTGCTTGAGTTAAACTTTGCGCATTATTTGAGTGATTTTGCCATTATCGAAATCAATGCAGGGGTAACACGCTATATGTAAAAAATGCTAAATTCTGGTGATTACCTCCCAACCCCCCCAACCCCCACCCCACCCCCCACCCCCCAAATACCTAAAATTGGGGTTTTTTTTTAAAAAGTACATGCTCATAATTTTCAACACAACAATATTTTTTTTAAAAATATATTTAACTAAGCGAAAAAAAAAAACTTGAATGATATCTCATTCTTGATTAAATGGAAATTCCTGCATGATTATGGTGTATTTCGTTGCTATGGCAACTGAAATGATATTTTTATAATCATTTTCAGAAACTGCACAATACCTGCTCTCAGAATATATACATATACATTGGTAAATACAAAAAGTACAAGAAATACTAAAAAAAAAATGCATCGAAATCTTAATATCAATTTGTTTAGAAATGCTTAAAATCTTTGCCATGGAAGGGGTTAAAGCAATTATCTGACGTTTGTTCCCCTTCATTATTTTATAGATTCACATGCCAGCTTGCCATCACAGAGATCAACTATGGAAATCAACCTCGGTTGCCAAACTCGCTAACAATGAGTCCTTATCAACCAGAGCCTATCAACCCCTCTGTCAGGAACCTCAACATTGGCTTTGCAGTTGACTTTGAAACAGAATCCAAAGATCTGGTCAAGTCTATAGGACACATCGGGAGACATCTTAATCAGATGGACATCAACCAAGTGGAGGTACGCTCCGAGGAGAGGGGTCGGAACATCCATCTGAACATGTCTGGTGACCAGGCCTCCAATCAACTGTTTGACACTTTTGAACAATGTCTGCTTATTTCAAACGAGATGGAGTCAGCCATGGCCTACTATTACAAGGATGAGAGCAATAGAGAGTGCTACAATGTGCAGGAAATCTATGACATAGACAGTGTAGGTATTACGTTACCTAGTCCCACTGATCTATCCTCAGGACAGGACTTACCAGATTCTGACTGGCACACCTATCTCGAATCCAAACCAGATATTGAGAATGAGGTGGGAGACAGAATACAGGAAGTCTTAGCCATACCAGAATTCCAGAGCAGTGACCATGGTGATACAATGCAATCCAAGTATGAGGTTGAAGAAGATGATTAAAAATGGGCATGACATTCCACTTTGTTTGACTGCTTCATTATTTATTGTTCTGCAAGCAAGAATTGACTTATAATTTTGCATTTACCATTTCTTAATTTTGCTATTGGTCAACATTTGGGAATCTGTTGTAAGTTTCCTTTTGTTCCGAGGTCATGCTGTCCTGTCTCTAAAGATATTGTTAAACAGCATGCACTTAAAATTGAAATGAAAGGTTTACTCAGTGCTTCTAACATAGTGCCAGTGTCTGTGGGAGCTATTACTGAAAACTTTTTTAGGAGATAGCTTCAGTATTCATCTTCCTTTGTTTGAAATATGGATATTTTCCTCCTGTATTCCATTCATACCTATTTATTACCACATGCACATGTGCCAAATTTGTGTGTTTTTATGTAACAGTTTGTCAAGATGAAATTTACTATATTTTAACTATTTATTTATAATGTCATTTTGTTTTAATTCCCTATAGCATTCTGTTTTTATTGTAAAGGACTTTTGAGATATTCCTTTTGTAGATCAAAACCGATGTAAAAATGCATATCTTACAATATATGTTCATTGTACCTGTATTAACAAGGATTCGGCCAAAATTTACCTCATATATGTACTTGCAATTTTAACTTGGCTTTTAGTGTTTATACTTTTACTGTAAATTTGGTGCTTCCTTTCATTGCCATTCCTTCATTCTCATCACAGTATTTTATGTAAATTGTACTTTCATTACTTCTAGTTTGCTGTTTTGTACAACTAAAGCAATGCAATTTTTTTGTGTGTCCATTTTTTTTTAAGTTTTCACATCTAATGCTTATCCTAAGCATTGTATGTGTACACTTTATGTAGAACAATTTTCTTAGCTTTGTAAATATGTACATACACACACGTTACAACAAAACTGATTCACAACCAAATATTCAGTCCTAGTGCTTGTTGTTTTAAATTCTGTTGCAGATGGCTGATATTCTGGTTTATATTAAGACAGAACTTGTATCATTTAGTAATAATTATGTATTGTTATCCCATAGTGTTCTTGTATTAACGTCAGTGTTGTTATGTAGTTAAACTGTTGATCAGGATTAATCATAATGGCATTAGTTCAGAAAAAAAACTTGTTACAGAATACAAAAAATAAATAAAAGAACAATACACTGTTGTTTTTTCAACGAACTAAACAAAAGACTCAAAGGCAACAATATTTTTGAGCTTGAAATTTTGCTTCTCTTAATACATAATAATAGCCATTCTCTGTAACCACTTAAACTTCGTTGCCACGCATGGTCACCGATTTTGATGAAACTTCACCCATGCTTAGTACTTGACTCCAGAAACAAATATCAAACAAAATTTCGTTGCTATGTGTCTCGGTTGCTACGGCAACAGCCGGAAAAGTTTGAAAAATCGAGATTTTCAGCCACTTTAAATTTTGACTGTGGCTTAATAAAAACTAGAAAAAGCAAACAATCCATTCTCACAAAAACATTACACCTTGATGTCACTTATACTGTAAAGAAACTGTTTAGAATATATCTCTAAGTAAGTGGTAACCAAGGGTACATTTGGAATACATTTAAAATGCTGAAATATGCTGAAAAACACTCCGTATTCACTAATGGTAGGTGTTACATGCTAAAACTCAATCAGAGACTTGAGAAAAACAATGAAAATGTTTTACCTTAGGAATATAGGTATAAGCAATATTATTTTATAAATAACTTTTATGGTTGCCATGGTAACACAGTGTAACCATGCAAAACCAGTAACTAAGATTGGGTTAATGCTACTGTCTTGAGGAAAAACATGAAAATTCAAGACTGGCAAATTTGCATCCTTAGGACCTTGCAACACCAAAACCGTAAGAAAAATTGGGTATTATTGCTACTTTGCAGTGTTACCATGGAAACAAAGTACCAGTGCTTAAAAGTGAATTATTTTTCGCTGCATTAAAAATTAAATTGCCATTTAATCAAGAAACAAATTAAAGGACTCAGCTTGAATAGTACTTATCTGTTAGAACTAAAGTTGAATATCATATATTGGTAAAATTTTATGAATAAAACAACTCTGTTGCTATGGTTACCAAGAAGGGAAAATGTTCGATTTTGTGAACTTTATATCAATATTAAACCCTGTGTGCCAACTTCTTGCATCCACTTAGAGATTGGATGATAGTCAAAATTAAAAGTCAAGTTAGCTGTTCATAAATATCGATCATAAAAGTTTTGGGAATCTACATTTAAGGGTACGTATCCAAGGAAAGAAAATATTTTTCAGGTTTTTAAGCATATATTTTCTGCTTATTTCCATAGCAACGCTCTATTTAAAGAATCTAATCTGAATTTTTTCAAATGGGAAAACTTGGAGCACACCAACGTCTTATAAAATTGATCATTGGTTATGAGGAAATGTGCTTTTTTTAAAAGATAGGATCAGATTTAACATACAAAGTGTTACATTGAAGGCTCTCTGTGGTATAAAAACCTTGGCAACCATTGTCAACCAAAATGAAATATCATATTTTGTTCTTGGTATATGTTTCAAGGCTCTTTTTTCTACTATTTGGTCACATTTCATCTTATAATTGCTTTTTATTTTTACGTGTATGACTTTATAAAATTCAATGAATATTTTTTTTTACTTTTGAATACTTTGTTACCATAGTAACGTATGTAGTAGTTGATTTACCAAACATGTTTATCATGCATTTGAGACATCTGACCTTCAACTTTTGGAAACAGTCATTGCCAATTGTTTGCTTTGCCGCAAATGTTAACTATGGGGCTCTAAACATGTTAAAAAATGCCATTTTTCGAACTTGAAGACATGTTGCCATGGTAACTATAAAACATAGCAACCAATTTTTGCCTGATTTCAGTTTAGGGTATCAATGACTTTTATCATAGAGAGTTTGGAGAAATTCTGAGACTATGCGTGCCACAGCTCCTATATAAAATTTCAAATCATTACAGAGAATGGCTCTTAAAACTCATTTACTGTAATAATTTCAATCCAAATATGATTGAGCTGCGTAATATCTATTCATTCCTTGTCTGTTTTAGAATCATGACATCTCCATTTTGATGATATATTATAAGGCACATCAGGATGTGTTGTAATGTTAGAAGATAAAGTATTTTCGCCAAAATTATGATGGATATTTTTTGCATACAAATTCATAAAGTAAAAACACAAATGCAAGTACAAATTTAATTTGCACCATGAATTGCACCATTTACAAAGTTATAAAATTAATACATTTAGCTGCTCTAATTTTATGTAGCTGATACATCTGCTGTTGTGGAGAGTAGGGAAGGAATGAGTCTGATATTTCATGTCTGAAGCATGTGTAACAAGAAAGGATAAAATGTAAGGTTGGACCCAGGGAATTAAACTTGGACCTCCCTGTATCACTAGTCAGGTGCTTTACCAACTGAGCTCTCCAAGCAGATAGCATTGGCCCTGACCATTATTACATTACTCCCTCTGTATATTGTCTTCTCTGTTGGAGACTTGAACCAAATTCCTATTTGCCCCTGCAGGATTTTCACCTGCAAGACCAGGGTGGCCAATGGTACCAACTTTGTAACAGGAAAGAATAAAATATGGCTGGACCAAGAATCGGACCTTAGCCTGACCCTGTATCACTTTAGTGTCTCAGGTGTGAAATAAATTCCCCATCCATTCATAGAAATTTAATTTCCTATTGAATAATTTTGTTTGTTTTGTTGTATTTGAAGGGAAGAAAAATCACGAGCTTTTCCCACTTTTGATATTTTTACAGTGATGATATTAATACATGTAACTTATCTTTTTTATTTAAAGGAGTATTTGACTGTATAGCCCGAAATATCTGACTTTTTCCAGGCTTTTTTTTTTTTTTTTTTTTTTTTTTTTTTTTAATTTTGATATATTACCTGCCAGGAGAACGTAAAATAGTAAAATACTAAAATAGCCTGGAAAAGTTTAATACATTATAATATTCCACCTGGTCTTTGTATTTACTTAAAATTTGCTCAGTAAACAAAAAGACCACAAATATGGCATTCAGGTATCGGTAGACACCCTGGACTTTTAATAAACGTCACTACCAACAATCGATAAACAATGCCACGTGTTGCAAGAGTAACGGAAGTTTCGTGTCTCATAAATATTCATAAGAAAACAATATGGCGTCCATGCTGGTGGTTGTGTACATGGTCCAGCTAATTTTACACCACATATCTCCATCAGGGGGTTCATCACACTGGGTTGTGACCGAGGATGGACGAATTCAAGCCCAGGTACAGAATTTGCATCATAAATTTCACGCTTCTACAAAGTTAAAGCTGAATAATTTGCCATTTATAGCCATTTACAGAGATTCTGTACGTAATGACAGCTGAGCATGAGGGAGCAAAGATCAATTATTATCTTTTACAGTCAGATGATGTTGACTTTGCTTGATATGAAAAAAGAACAAACTTTAATAGTTTGAATAAATAATTCAATTTAGTTGTGATGTTTTAAAATTCATGTAGTCAATTTCTTTTTAATTTTAATAATAAAGCATCAGTACATGCATGCATTATACTAGACCCTTTGATTACTTTTGGACCAGCTTCAACAAATCAAATTAGTGTTTTAATTTAAATTATAGTCTAAAAATTTCATAAACCTTTATGTGATTTGTCCAGAGATAAGAAACAGATAAAAGAGAGAAATTTTGGATTTGAAAGATATGCTAGCTCAGTAGTAAGCACAGTTAGTGGGAGATCTTGGGATTTGAGTACCAGTCTGGCAGACATTTTTCCCCGCCTGATATATTTGGTGCCCAACATTAAAACCATCGGTGGTTGGGAAGAGATTCGGGGAAGTTTCCAAGAGGAAAAACCTCAAGAAAAAGGGGGGATAGTGAAAAGGGGATGGGTACATTGGCCCTGTAGCTCAGTGGTTAGAGCGCCTGCATGGTTATATTAAATATATATAGCCAGAGGTCCTGGGTTCGAGTCCTAGTCTGCCTGTTATATCATGTTGAGTCCTTTATGACATGGATATATACTTGATATAACTCATTAATTTTGTATTTCGTATCACACTGCTGTCTCACAAAATGTCTGGGTTTTGCTTGAAAGTGATGAATTGAAATAATGTGGAGTCATTGTAATAAAGAGTTCAAACAGTGTAAAATATTTTTTTCATGTATAGAACCTGATGAAGAAAACTTCCCATGATTTGTGGTTAGATATGATTTTTAGCCAAATGGTAAGGCTGAAAAATGAAAAACATACAACTCGATCTTTGGATAAAAATAATATTTAAACACAAATCATGAGAGATCCTATATGAATATATATTGATATTTACATAAAAGGACAAAACAGTTCAATTAAAGCATTAGTATATAAAGTACCAATAAGTAAAATTATGCTTAAGGACCAGTATTTAACTAATTTTAATTTTAAAAGTATAATTTGTCAAACAAAATAGCTCCAATCATTGTTTTTTTCTTGCTGCATGCAATAATTTTATAGCAATGTTGCAATACTTCAATAGTTTGATTATGCAGTTTAATTTAGCAATAATCAATAGTTGCTGGTACCGGTTGAATACTCGTTCAAATTCACAATAAATATTTGATAGTGTGGATATGTTAAACTTTGCAGTATGTTATTAGTTTTTGAAGTGTATTCATTGATTTTTTTCAAAATGTTATATATTCCCCAGGTACATTCAGTCATCTAAGTAATATGCTGCAATTTAAAAAAAAACATTTTTTTCATTTAACAGATTTCAAAACCAATGGTTTCTGAATGTAAATAGTGTATATTTGATATACATCCTCTTGTCATACAAAATGGTTGGAAATACATATTGTGCTATCTTGCAACATCGTCTCTGTGACAAGAATTGCTCAAATATTTGCTATTAATTCTCACTTCCATTAATTTTCCATTTATTGTACCAATTTACATATTATAATTTTGGAATGGAAAAAAAACAACAAATAAAACAATGATATCTTAATTAGTATCCAACCATGCTTTAATATATGAACATTAAAAAAAAGTGAATTCAACTTAACTTAATTATTAAGTAAAGCTTTTACAATATTTTTTTTTTATTAAATTTTTTTTTAGAAATTTAATATTAACAACAGAGTGAAAAATGTGTGCAGATCATGATATTTTAAAATCATATGATATATCATGATAGAAAATTTTGGTTAATACCCAACCCTCATATATACGGTGCAAATTGTTAAACCTTATGGTGAAGTGGTAAATTTTAATTTTTCTGATCATCTCTTGGTTAGAATATTAAAATAGAAATTGAAATGAGGAAGAATAATTTTCCAAAGACCTTGTTATTAAATTTGACTTCATTTACCATCCTTTTTATTTGTGTTTCACATTACTCATGTTTGATAGATTATTACAGTCTTTTGATAAAGTGATGGTAGACTCCTCTTTGTTCCTGTTATAAAGAACCTTTGTTTTATCTTACAGGAACATATGAAAATGATTTCCTGTTTTATCATGTTTATATGCACTGTGAATTATTATGTTACCAAGTACTGTTATTGTCTGTATCCATAAAGAAAATTGTCTCTCTGAATCATGAATAAGACCGTTGTAAATATCAAAATAATCATTACTGATTAATAAAATGAATTTAAATGCATAGCTTAATTTAAATTAGGAATTATTTTTATTTTTCTCAAGAGAACATTCAGATGGAAATAAAATTATCAATTTGATACAAATTTATAAATATACGTAAAAATTTCAAGTAAAACCAATATATATGTGTAAAAAATTTCTAATGTTGTAATTTAAGGGAATTAGTTGTATTATGAGATATAAGTTTTTGGTTGAACCCTCATTCTTAGAAGTACATGATTACATTATGATTTAATGATCTGTGACTGAGTGTTCTCTATCTGTTACAATAAGCATGATTTTCATACATTTGTATTAACAGTTGGACACAGTTTTCAATATGAAGAGGCCCTATGATCTGGTAGCTTTTATGAGACAGGAAGAAAGATCAGGGATGTTAGATAAGTTAAAAGAGGAACTGCTGTCCAGGAAAGACGAGATAGATAAAAATGAAGATCGGGATACAGGTATATAACATCTACTTACTGGTAATACATTAAGGTTTCTCGACCCTCTGGTAAGAGAGATAACTCTCACTGGAATATATGTTCTATTGCTTTTTCAAAATAAAACGGCAAGGTTAATTTATGTCAAATTTGACCCATCAACTAAGGCATGTACATTCTGAAATCATGTCTATGAATCAAAGTCCTTTAGGTTTGCATTAAAGCAATGTTTTTATGGGTGAAGAATAGGGACACCTTAAGAAATTTTACAGGTGCCCCAGATTTATGCAAGAATTAAGTAAAATAAACATATCATATAGGGCATATGGTAGATTATTTCTTGCAAGAAATTTCAAACCATGATAATCTTTTTTCAAAAATTTAAATTATTGAATTAAATGGAATGTTATTTTTAGGTCTGGAACAGAGGTTTTATAAAACAGATCCAGACTGTTTGATGGCAGTCAAGCCTCTACCCGAGTTTGATTTATACATCAGTACCGTGTTACCTTTAGAAAACAAAGGCATACGGTAAGGAAATCTAACAGATCGATCACATGCAAACATAACAATAACAATAACTGAATATTAGGTACATACCAGTATGGGTAACCATTCTAAGTATTTTTTTTTTGTGGAAAAATATTAACTTTGAAATTTCAAAATGTTTTTTAAAATATATCACAATATTGAAATTTGAAATGGAGCAGAGAAAGGTAACTTAGAGTATTCTGGAACTTAAAATTGTCTAAGGACAGGTGTCAAAGAAAGCATTTTGACAATCTCTGATGAACATTTGTACAATTTTTTTCACTGATGTACACAATCATAAAATAGTTTAACTTCACCTATCTACAGTGTATAAGTGACCAGCACATTAATTTATCAGACAGTCAGTTGCTAATTACATGTATCTCTGTTTTACAGGCCTGAAGATCATATAGATATGAAGAGTAAGTTACCCTCAACTTTACTGGCTCCAAATTGTGAATTAATAGAAGATTTATCATTTAGTATGGATGCCTTTGAACATTTAGAGGTAATGAAAATTTATATCTAAAGCTAGCTCATCTATATTTTGGCGATTAAAACTGCAAATTATTTTAGCGCATGTTCAACAATTTTAATAGTTATCTTTTGAATGTAACAGAAATTCTAATCAAATACACTAGGTTCATATTTGAACATTCCAGTCCACAAAGAACATGAAGTAGGATTTAAAATGTTGAATTTTTTGTTATTTATAACATTGATCTGACCACTGTCTTGTAAATTACAGGGCATGAAGGACCGCTTGTCCCTCTCTGGTACCCCAGAGTTAGGTCTGAAGAATGCCATAACTTACCAAGACAGTGTTGAGGAATATGGGCATAGAGTATATGAGGCCCTTAAAAAGGTAAATGTAATGTATGAAAATATTGACTACTTAGGCAGTGCCTAAAAATTTATTTTCCTTTTGCTGGTGGTACAGTACATATTGAAAGTATATGTTTGGTAATTTTCAAAAAAAAAAAGAAACACTTACAAATTAGACATTCTTATTACAGTGTATGTGAACTTCTTTTTTTAGAACACAACATCATGGGTGCTTTATAATATGGCTGCATTCTTTTGGAGGATAAAAGGGGATCCATATATGACAATAGAGTGTCTTAGAAGAGCATTAAATTATTCTCCAAGGTAATTCTCAATGTGCCGGTTATATATGTTCAAACGTATGGTGTGTCTCCATGACCTTGGATTTTTGGACAAAGACAGGGTTTTGTAAATCAAGGGAAGAACTTATGAATTGTCAGTTATTCTATATTTGAAAAATCTTAGAAGCACAATTTTGACTGAAAAAGTTGTATACAGTATAAAGTAAATGTCTACAGCTTAATTGACCAGATGTGGTTCACATACAATAAGTATTTGCATTTCATAATTTATTTTTTGTTTGTCACTGAAAATTGACTACTGTAGATTCCTAAATATATGTGAGGAATTTTACTCACTTTTATTTTAATGATGCTGAAATCCATGTATATTTTCTTCATGAAATGTCCATTTGCAATTTATTATTCTCGCAATCTGATTTCGCAATAATAAATACTCGCAAAAAATAAGGAATTTACAGTATCACTTTGTACTAAAGATTATATAATGGGTATTTTTATAGCCAGATTTAAGGCTTTAATTTGGCACATAAAATTTATTCAGAATATTAGACCTTCTGTACTGCATGTACTTTGATTTATGAACATCAACTTTTTTTCAGGTTGCATAAAGATGTAGCATTAATTAGTTTGGCTAATGTACTTCATCGAGCCAGATACTCTAATGAAGCAGCAATTGTTGTTCATGCAGCACTTGATGTGTCAAAGGAACTTAATGTAAACCACTTTACTCTAGGAAATATTTATGCTGTAAGTATTGGATACTGCTCAACAACCATTCAAACCAGACATGTTTATGTTACAGATGCTTCATGTTTAAATTTGTGTATGTAGACATACATGAAAATATTCAAAATGAAATTCTGAAAGAAATTTGCAAGTTGTTATGTCTGTAAACACATGATAACTTTTTATGTGATTGCTTGGATGGTAATGTTAATTAGATAATTTATTTAATACATTTATAAATATCAGAAGAAAGTGTGGATGTGCACTATGCACAAGAATGCATTTCATAAGAAAATTAAAGACATTGAAGACTTTGTATTGACCCATATGACTGGTTCTTGACAGCACTTAGGCAGAACTCTTAGGCAGAACTTTTGCTTGTCCACAGGTGATGGCTGAGTACAATAAGTCTGTTATCTGTTTTGAGAATACTCTGAAGATCCAGCCTGATTTTAAAGCTGCTGCAGAGAGAAAGTATGCCGTGTTGTGTCATGCCAAGTTAGAGGCTGCCCTAGAGACACAGCACAGGTACATAAACAGTAAATAGAAAATAGACACTGTAAAGAGGCTGCATGCTTACAGCACAGGTACTTGTAAAGTGAAAGTAGAATAAAGGATATCAGAAAAAAATTATTCTGAAAGTCTTCATATTGATGTATATTTTGTAGATCTCTCCAGAAAACACTGAATGATTTAAAAGATTACCAGAAGAAGCATGATTACTGGCAGCAACAAAACGAGAAGCTGGTGTCGGAGCAGGTGTCTGCCAACATCAAAATCAACCAACATGTCGCTCACGAGAGTCTCAAAATGCAGCAAACTAATGTGGAAATAGGTTTGTTATCTGCAGTATCTGAAACTGAATGTCTGATCCAAAAACTTAAATGTTGCTTGTGTAAAGTAGCATGTTTCTGAAATTTGAGAATGCAACTTTGACTGTTTTTTTCTTTTTGGTAGGTGAGTTTTGTCAGATGGTGGACAGGAATGGCAGACAGGTGTTAATGTGTACTTGGGGTAAGAAAGCCATGGAGGATGAAATGGACTTCACAATGTTTGGAGATTTTGAGCATGGAAACCTAGTAGACATTAATGTAGGTATTTTAGAATTATTTTCCTGTTTTTGAATATAAGTAATGATGGTTGGTTTGTTTCAATATAAACAACTTTGTAACTGTAATTATCTGTAAATAATTTAAACTTATCTTATTCAATAGAAAAGAGAGGAGGAAGAAGAGGAATCTCCCATTATTGACTACACCAAACCTGTCAGAGCTCCACTGTATACCAATTATCAATTAGATAGAAAAGACACACCTCTCGTTTTCTTCTACTCTGCTCCATTTCCATACTTTCAGGCACTTTGACGTCATCGTTGGAATTTATTGTTTAGGAATTTAGCAATCGTACAAAAAATTAGTTAAATCACTGTCCCAAAGGGCTTGTTGTAATGCATGCTGTTTCCAAAAAAGAAATTATACTCTGAAATAAGTTATCCCCCTTTGAATCCATCCATATTAACTTGCAATAAAGAGATTATGTAGAACATAGCATGAGAAAAATGAATTTTTGAATAAATGATTAAAGCATATTACTAGAGGCTATTTTCTTTAATGTCTGTTGATGTACACAAAGAAGATTTTTGTTGTTACATTCGGTGATTGTGTGTATTTCAGTACAATCATCCTGACAGTGACTGGCCAGCTAAAGATGAATGTGATACGTACGTCCAGAAGGTCCCAGATCCTCGGAATCTGTCCACCATTTATCTCAGTCCCGAAAACAAAGGATTCGAGTAAGAAAATAGCCAGGTTTTATTATTAACCGTTCCTAGGTATAACTTACTCTGTGTGAAACATATTTCATGTTATTGATACTCATTTGTTTTGAGGTAAAGGGAACAATTAATTTTTGTTTTATTCACACCAGGGTGAAAGCATTGTTGACAGAAGCCCAGAACCTGTTACCGGAGGATGAACATCCTCTCCCATGGTACCCACCAGTTTGTGTGCCCCTAATGGAGATTCCCGAGGGTCAGAAGAAAACCTACGACCACATCAAGTCCGTCTCTTACGATGAGAGAACAAGAATACCGCTAAAACTTAACGATCCGTCCATGTTTCCTGTAAGTATAGATACTGTAATAACTAAATGATCCGTCTTTTTCCTGTTAGTATAAAAGTATAGAATATCTCAATAACTTAGTGAGCTGCATCTGTTTCCTGTAAATATAGAATGCCTCAATAGCTAAATGAGCTGTTCCATTTTACTGTTACCTCAGTATACAATGTAATTCAATGATCTGTTCAGTGTTTCCTGTTAGTATAAAATACAAGTAAATTACAATGACCTGTGAATGATGTTTTAGAAGTTAGTAGAGAATACGTCTAAAATTCATGTTTTGTCAATACCTTCTTTTTAAATAGAGGATATTCAACGTTTCCTGTTTCCTCCTAGTATTGTCCCAGTGAGAGTCCATACTTGGAATAGTGTGAATCAAAATAATCACACATTTCATATTCCAATAATGAATTCAATAATTCTTGTGTTACATACACATACATTATAGGGGTGGGACGATACACACATTATCAAATTTTTATATTGGCATGGTAACGTATCTCGATATTATGAGAAATTATAAAACTTTTTAAAAAAATTAGTATTTTATTTCCTTTTTTTTTTTTTGTCTTGATATTAATTAAATCAACAAATTATTCTATATCAAGTCATGTTTGCTTTGAAATTAATACTTGAAGTACATCAATTTAATTGACTAAAACTTTACAGAAACATTAATACATGTTACTATAACCAAATTACTATTCAGAAGTTGTTTAGAAATAGTTGTGTAGTTTATCAGAGAACACTGAATAAAAATTCATTTAAAAAACATCGATCATATAACATTTTTATTAATTCATTGCTGAAAGTCTGTAGCCAAGTTGAGATTACAAAAAAAAAGTACAAGATGGACTAACAATTAATAATATCAAATGTTCCGGAAACGTGTTTTCTGTGTATAGCACGCATTTGGACATTTTCAACTTTTCTCTTGTCCAATCTTTCGACCAATTTCAACTGCTTAAAAGTAAAAACATTTTACCCCTAACCAACGACTTATTAGTTCTAAAGTGAGTTTTCAATATCAACATCATCTCTTCCCTCGTACAAGCCGCCATTTTCCAAGGACAGGTACTTTCATTTTCAATTTTTGGAATCGTTCGTGTAAAAATATTTGAATGCTTGTATCGAAAACCGTATCTTGGAGGAAAATATCGATATGTATTGGTGTATCGGTATATCGTCCCACCCCTAATACATTAAATATTATCAAATTTTTTTGGCTGGTAACTACATGTACCTAGATAGCATAATTTTCCTCTAGTTGTCAGACAGCTTTTTTTTCTTACTGAATCTCATTCTTTCAGATCCTGATTGCCCATGTTAATGATGGGATTGCTATAGAAGAAATAGGACAAAGACTATTGACTGCTCTAAAACAGGTACCTTGTTCATGCAAATCTGCAAAGTAGATACACATGTATTTGGCACCAGAATAAAAAATCTGTTGCCTATCAATGTGATTATATAACTTTACGGAATTGTATTTTACTAATTTTGTGCTATAAAGAGATGTATAAACATAAATTTCAATGATTTTGTATGTAGTTTTTTTTCCAAGCAATTTATCTATATTGTACAAATCAATTTAGTTGTTCTATATAATTTTTTGATGGAATATTGAAAGGTACCTGTTTGCAATCTAAATATATTGCAGTTGTCTATGAATTTATCTATAAAAACCCCATAATTTGTAGAAAATAGGTCCTGGGTGGGTTTTGTATAACTTGGCTGGACTGTATTGGAGGATCATTGGTAACAACTACCAGGGGATAGAGTGTATCCGGCGCTCGCTGTACCTAGTACCGGACGAGTACCGAGATGTACCGCTGATTAACCTAGCTAACATTCTGTACCTGTGGGGGCGGTTTGAAGACGCTGTCACGGTGATGAAGGATGCTTTGGCTGTTAATGATTTGGAGGTATGCTCATCAAATAAATGTCATGTTTAAACATGTTATGTATTTCTGTTGAAGTAAGAAAGATCAATGATTTGAGAGTAAACAGATCAAATGAAAGAAGTTTTTAATATCCTATACAGAAAAAAAAGTCTAAAGTATTTACATGTATGTATATTGAATTTAATTTTTAATATCATTGAATTCGTATTTCAGCCAGAGTCTCATTATTTCTATGCAAACCTTCTCTGGGCAACTAAGAACTACACAGGAGCCGTCAAACATTATGAGAAATCCCTGGACATCCTACCAGAGAGTCAGGACACCTTCAATAATCTCCGAGCCATTAGATGCTACTTGAAATTTCACCATGCAGCTCAGAGTGCTGTTGCAGCCAAGCAGACAAAAAACCAGGGGTGTATGTCTAAAAATAAAGGGAGTGGATCCAACGGAAACCAGGAGACGGAGAGCAGGGTTATCTGTAAAAATGTGAGGCAGTTTATATTTGTTGTTAAAATATTTATTAAATTTTGTAAGCATTGTTAGCATTTAATCATATGCTGTTTCCCTAACACACAGTACTAGTGTACATATGTACATCAAAAAGATAAAGGCATCATTTACAGTCAAACTGGGTGGTAGCGAAGTCACTGGGACCTATGAAATTACTTCGCTATATCCGTAATTCGTCATATCCGTATAAGAAATTCATTGAATTTTTATATAGCTGGGGATCCAAGGTAACTTCGCTTTATCCATGAATTTGCAATGTGATATCACATATAAACGTAGAACTGATTTTGAGATCAGTAATATTGAGACAATCTGGCTAGAAATTAATCTAAAAAATTCTAAACCTATATTTTATTGCTCTGCTTATCGTCCACCATCTGCAAAAATGCTGGGCGGAGGACCTAGCAAGGGAGGTGAACCGTGCCTCCTGCTGTGACGATACTGAAATTATTCTATCAGGTGATTTTAATATTGATCTAATGAAAGACCCCCCCAATATTGGACATCTGCTTTAGAGGAGTTTGGACTTTCTCAGATAGTACTGTTCCTACTAGAATAACAAGTACCTCAAGTACCTTAATTGATCATTTTTATACAACTAAACCAGAAAACATATGTGAAACAAATGTGCCCCCTATTGCTATTTCTGACCACTACCCTGTATGTTTGACACGGAAAACTAATTGTATACAGCGTAGAGGAAAACATACTGAAATCCAATATCGAGATTTTAAACAATTCAACGAAAACGAGTTTTTGAGAGAGTTAGAAAATGCAAATTTTAACACTCTTCTTAAACTTAAAGACCCAAACGAAATAATGAATAAATTTTATGAATTGTTTAATGATATTCTTAACAGGCATGCCAAAGTAAAAACAAAAAGAGTCAAGACTGAAATTCGACCTAAATGGCTAACACAGGAAATAAATGATGCCAGACATTTACGCGATACATATCATTTACAAAGGAATTCAGAAAATTACAAAATTTGGAGAAATAAAGTTACACAATTAATAGATCAAGCAAAATCAAAGTATTACAAATCTGCAATTGAAGAAAGCTCAAGTCCTAAAGAAATGTGGAGTTATTTAAACCATTTGGCATCTAAATCCAAAACTTTTACACCTAGCCGTATTACACAAAATGGTTTAGATTTTGAAGATTTACAGGATATTGTTGATATTTTTAACAAACACTTTACGGAAATATCCTGTAAATTATTAGCAGATATGTCAGTACAAAGTTTTGATTCAGAATTATTAAATCGGTATACAGAAACTAAACTAGGGAAAGAAAATGTTTTCAGTATTAATGAAATAACTGAATTTGAAGTATTGAATATGTTGAATACACTTGATGTAAATAAGTCAGCCGGTATAGACTTTATCGGACCTCGTCTTCTAAAACTTTCGGCAAATGTCATATGCAAATCTATTACACATCTTATAAATGCTAGTATCACTAATGGAGTATTTCCATCCAGTTTAAAACAAGCAAAAGTCACTCCTATTTTCAAAAATGGCGACCACGCAGATCCAGGGAACTACAGACCGATATCCATTCTTCCAACATTATCAAAATTAGTTGAAAAACACATAGCAAATCAAATACGTAACTTTGCCTCTAACTTTGATCGTTTATTTAAATCACAATCTGGATTTCGAGAATTTCATTCAGGTCAAACGGCTCTTACAAAACTTACAGATAATTGGCTACAAGCTATGGACCAAGGAAATCTAGTAGGCATAACTTTCATCGATTTTAGCAAGGCATTTGATTTGGTTAATCATGAAATTCTTATAAGTAAACTTCAATCATATAACTTTGATCAAAGGGCTATTAAATGGTTTCATTCTTATTTAACCTCAAGGTCTCAGTGTGTAAAAATAGGAACATATTCCTCTGATTTTTTGCCCGTCACAGCAGGAGTGCCCCAAGGTTCTATCTTAGGTCCCCTATTATTTTTATTGTATATAAATGATCTCCCTTTACATGTAAATAGAACAGATATTGATATGTTTGCCGATGATGCAACCTTGCATACATATCATAAAAATATAGAAGGTATTGAGAATGCCCTTAACTTTGATTTGTGTGAGATTGAAAATTGGTGTTCCAAAAATCAAATGGTGTTAAATACCAATAAGACAAAATGTATGCTTATGGGAACTCAGCAGAGAAAATCAAGAATAGATTCACCTGAACTAAATTTATATGCTTCAAACAAATTAATTGAAAATGTTGAATCTGAAAAACTTCTGGGAGTGCATATTGATGGTTCATTGCGCTATAATCACCATATTGACTCAGTTTGTAAATCTTTGACATATAAATTATATACGTTGCGCAAAATTAAAAAATTCCTCCCCTTACACACAAGAAAACTATTCTATAATGCATACATTCTGCCCTCTTTGAATTATTGCCTAACTATTTGGGGTAATGCGCCAGGTGCTGGCATAGATAGAGTTTTTAAATTGCAAAAAAGGGCAGCCCGTATTATACTAGATGTGGCTTATGATGCACCTTCACTACCATTATTCGAAAAACTTGGATGGCTGACTATTTACGAGTTGATTGATTTTCATAAATATATATTACTGTACAAAACACTTCATGGTATGGCACCTACTTATCTAAGAGACTCTTTTGAATTTATTTCTTCTAGTAGTTATGCTCTACGATCTGAAACAAACTATGACCTTCATCTACCGAAATATCGAACAAATCAATTTAAAAATTCTTTTCATTATTCCGGTGTTCATTTATGGAACAAACTACCTTTGTACATACGTTTTTCACAGAATTTACACACATTTCGTAAAAATGAAGAAAAATTCATAATAACATGCCGCAACTAAAATCTCCTGAAATCTATATGTACTTGTATTTTTACGTCATGTTGTATTATTTATTATTGTACAATGATTTCATTATTGTATTATTGTGAACATGCTTAGAGGGCCCCGAGGAAGACTAGTGCCTTGCACTAATCGGGTCACCCTCTTAAAATAAAGTATTATTATTATTATTATTATTATTATTATGTCCATGTTTGTACTAAAGATAGTAAAGAAGTTTTACTGTATAAATGCTTTTATATGTTATGACAGATAGCAATACAAAAATTGCAAGAAATTGTAAGGGCTTGTTCAAGCCATAGTTTCCTCTTTAAGATACATCTATAACGTGTATACAGATCTATATGAAAAATTTTATGCCCCCCTTCGAAGAAGGGAGGGCATATTGCTTGGCTGCTGTCTCTTGGTTGATCAGTCTGCCTGTCCACCATCAGTTTTGATCAGGCCATTTTGGACAGAGTTATGCCCCTCGGACTTAGAAAAATTCCAATCATTTGAGGGAGGGGGGCATAAGTGTTTTACAAACATCTCCTGTTAGGAGAAGGTCCTGCCAGTTATGTAGTGTATATTTTGACCTGTGATTCAATTCTATAAGAAAAATTTCTCTGTTTATCATTTTACAAAATATAACATGAAAGATTGATTTGTTTGTTTAATACTTGGAGAACAAAATAATATGTACAACTGGAACTTTGTAGAAAACCCTGGAAGATATAATGATTGATTAGATTGGTGAATGCTTTATAGGAGAATGGAGAAGAGAAGTGTGTCATTGAGACGAGGAGTCGTACAAAGTCGGGGGAGTGTAACGGTCACTGTACCCAGACCTGTACAGTCACACCCATCAAGTTTGACAGCTGTAATGGGGAGGAGCCAGGGGCAGGTACGAGTAGTCAAACACGAAATAAAGAGAAATGTGGGTAACTCACAAGGAAGAGGGGGAAGGGGGCTGTGGTTGGTGTTGCAGGTGGTTGGTCCTTGAGAAGGTGTTTAGACGGAGCTTTAAATCCTTCCTAAACCAGACTATCATGAAATAGGCATTATACATTTATACCTTTTCAGCATTATGAAAAATCTTAAGACTGAAGTCTTGATTCGTGACTCAGAGTGTCTGGTTTTGACTAGTTATGAAGCAGATTTTTTTTTCTGTAATTAAAATGGCAACAATCTTTAACCTGTTACAATATGTATAAGGTTTCCATTTTATACATACTTCTAAGTATTTTGTGCAACTTATTTTCAATTTTAGGTAGTGCATGTTCCCAGAAAGGACCAACCCAACCATTCCCAAACAGTGCTGATGAACCCAACTGTAAGAGGCTGTAGTATAGTTTATAAAAGGGGGGTTCTTAAGAAATTAAGTTCAGAATGTTTTGGGGATTAATTTTAAATTGAAAAAGTAATTTGAAAGAATGTTAAACTGCAAAAAACTTGTTTAAACAGAAAAATGTTCCACCTATGCATCAAATATTTTACACATGTGTGAAACTTAAAGTAGTCCTTGCAATTGAAAACTGCTCCTTCAATTATTTAAGCACATATTAAGTATTTCACCTGTTTATTTGTCAAAGTTAAATAGAAGTAATTTTCTTGACAGAGAAACACAAAATAGCATGTGATAACATTTTATTACAGTGGGAGGTGATTTTTCTGATCGGCTTGATGACGTTAGTGAACACTTCATGTCTAAGGGGGTGTGTGAAGGGGAGGATTGTAGACAGCTCAAAGTACAGGTACGTCATTAGTACAACCCACTACTCTTACTCTGTCACAGTATAGACAGCTCAAAGTATAGGTACTTCATCAGGACAACCCACTTCTATATTCTGTCACAGTAAATACAAAGGAGTGTCTTCCTTAACAAATCATTGTGTGTCATAGCTACATGTAAATAAACAAAAGTTTCGGAAGTGAAAAACTACTGTAAACGTATTACATTTGGCTGTGTATTCTTTTTAGTACCTTTGGCAGACAAACTTCTGCTAATTCAAGTACAACTCAAATGTTGTGCACATACAGTTAATTCTCGATAAACCGCCACCTTTTGTAATTTAGAAATCATGGCGGTATAACGAATTTGGCGATGAATTGAATTTCCCATCGTTTAGGAAACCAGAAGTAGAGTTACCGTTCTTAGAAATACAATTTAGCGTTTCTATTCTCATTATTACATGTACATGTACATATTAAAACATATTTCTAAGTTTTAAAATACTTCAAGTAATTTTTTATGTACAATTTCGCTAAAACAGAATGTGCAGTTATGAAATAAAGACAAGCACATGTGGATGCATGTAAATCTGCACGACTGATATTGAAAAAAAAATGCTGGGTCGATCGTCGTGATATATTGCCGATAATATGTAAAATGAATTCTTGAATAAATTCGTTGTTTAAGGCATCATTGTTAATAAAACGTTCACAATTTATACCGTATTATTATTTTTAGAGCAAACTTTGCAAGGTTTAAAGCAGCAGAGATCATCAAAATAATATCGTTATCGGCGTACTTTAACAATGACCGCTTTGAGGCAAAGTCTTGACTAAATGATTTTTATTAAACAGAAAACAAAATTATCATAACAGTTCATGTTAAAATCATTGTTTATCTAATTCTTATTTAATTATTTAATTGCATGTACCTTGCCTGGCTTTGCATGCTTTACAACAGGGATAGCGTCAACCAATTAGCCGCGCTTCACTGACCACATGCACCTGTGGCGGTATATCGAGATAATTGACACTTAAAAATGGACGTTTGTTGTGAAAACAGGGTGGCGGATGGCGGTATGCGAATTTGGCGTTATAAAGAGAATTTTATATAGCAGGAAAAACGTTCTTGGCAAATCATGGCGGTATAGCGAAAATGGCGATGAATCGAATGGCGATAATTCGAGAATTGACTGTATATACATAAATAAGAACATTAAGAAATACACTAAATCAAATCTTTGCTAACATGTTCATTAATCAATTTCTGCCAAATTTTGTGGACGCTTAATATAAAAGTATACATTTACAGTATGTCTTTGAAATTTGAGTTCCATATATTGTAAATTATTTTGACAACCCTTTTGTCCCCATCTGAATTAATGTTAGTAATGTTATGAATAACTTTAGTATAGCTGTAGAAATCAAAGAAATTCTGAAAAATATTACATTTGTAAAACATGCTATAGAGAGTATGATGGGATTTTAAGTATAGCTTATGTATGGTTATATATGTCAATAATTTGAGGATGTATTTTTGGTTGACTAAATTTTCAGTGTACGGTACCCATAGTGACAGGAACGGGGACCATTAGCTACATGAGTACCTTACCTAAATACCTGACTCGACCAATATATGCTTACAAAAAATGCCCGGTAAATCATGCAAGCCAAAAATTTACATGAATGTTTTGTGCCATTTTTCAAGTGCTGTCTTTCAGTCAGATGCTTTATTGAATTCATTTGAAAAGCTCGCAATCACATTTTTATGTCTCACCCACAATTTATCAAGAACTTCCCTAGTTTTATTCATATCTGTCGTTTTCTATTCTCTACAACTTAATTTCAGGAATATGGCATTTTTGTAGACCTGACCATTTTTTCTGGTATACGTTTACAGAAAGAGCTTAATATTTCTTGCCTGATTTTATATTGAGATGACATACTTTATTTAAATTTTCTTCTCTATGGCTGATGTCATCTTTGCTACACAAGAGTTTTTGGTCCACTTCATTACCTACAGACCTTTGTCAAATTAGGCAGCTAAGACCTTGATCGATATTAATTATTCATTACATGCTAGACCCCTTGAACCCCCCAAAAAAGACAGGTATAGACCTACATTATGTCAGTAAAATACTTACAAACATTCATTTGTAAATGATTTGCTACTTTTGAATCCACATATGTTTTATATCTTTACTCCCCCTCTTTTCCATCGGTGAAACTTTAAATTATCAAACGCACTTTAGTTTACCCAAGTATTGAGATAAAACTGTGAAATAAAAAAAACAGGTCATGGTGACCTACATTTGGGTTGACACAATATGAGGATGTAAGATGCATCAACTGACAACTTTGGAGTAATAATTCCTGTCATTGTTAATGTGACTCAAGTCCATGTTGTTTCTTCTTCAATGCTTAATATGTTCTTACATGAATGCTTTTCTCTCTTCTCTGTAGAATGCAAATAAGTTTTTTTCTTTTAATTTTTTTTAATTTTTTTTTTTAGATTTCTGTAGGAATTAAGTACATGTTTTTTCTTTTTAGATTGTATGATTTTCAGTTAATTTTACATCAAATTTGTTTATTTTATGAATAGATATGATTGATTATTGACTTCTTTTTCTCAAGTTTCATTAGCCATATAGCTTATTATTACCAAACTTTTTGAAAGGGGAATTGAAAAGAAAACCTTTCGAAAGGGAAAATTGTATACAAAAATATTTAGGTTTGTAACCCTTGGACTAGAAATGAGTGTAACATAGGTTTTAAAAAATCAAAATGGTAGTTTCAAAAGTATTAAAAAATCAACTCTTTTAAGAGTGATTGAGCTGAATAATTTGTAACTATATGTTGGCTTAATTGGAAAGAAATGAAAGATATTTCTCTATAGGCATCTTCCAGGATAAAGTTGAATGTTGATACTACAATGTGTAGCAAAAATTGATCCTAGAAAAATACACTTAATTAGAAAACAATAAAGCATTTTTTTAAATTCAGACCTGTTTTGTGCATAAGAGCAAGGTGATTGGAGGTCATTTTAGAATGTAATGCATCAATTTTAGAACTAAGAATATGAAAAAATCCTTTTATTTAGAGTGGACAGAAAATTATTTTGGCACCTCTGAGAATAGTAAGTTCTTGGGCAATGCATGTTTTGGAGCGGAGAGGAATCCTGAGCTGAATAACTTAATGTTGGGGGAGAGGTTATGTGTAGAATCTTTATGCATGTTCTTACTAGTGATTAGATTACAGTATTCACCTACATGTACATACACATGTATATTATATATTTACTTGTTGTGAGGCCACTAGCAAATTTATTGTCCTGAAGGCCCCTAATAGTCAACAGCTTGAGGTGTAGCCAATGGAATATTTGCTGTCAAGGGGGACACTCGCTCATTTAGTAAATAGGAGTTGCTTTATACCAGAGCTGATTTAGCTTAATACCAAACTTTGAATTCTACATCTGCATAGATTCAGAAAAGTTCTGAGATAAAAAGCAAGGAAATCAAATGCTGCTGGTGAATAATTTTGATTACTATTTGCCAGAGTTTAAGGTTATTTAGGGGAAAAATAGGAATTTTTTGCTTCATTTTTATAAAAAAAAAATACAATCTTATTAATTAAGAATGTGTCCAGTTTGACGCTTGAAGTGATTGGGTTTATAACTTAATTTGCATGTTTTTTGAGGCAGAAAATGCTTTGTGTACTATTTCCTTTATCATTGCAACTAAAGAATCTTAAAATTGCAAATTTTGTGTGTATCAAGGTTTAATTTATTACTTATTGTCTATGCTACAGTGTATTATAGCACAGGAAGAAATGGTGAACTTATCATTTAGGAATTTATAAAACTAAAATTTTACGTCACAATGCTATTTCTTCACAGATATGAACTTTGTTACTCTAATTAATAATGTAAACATGTACTATGACCTGGTTAAATGTCCTTTACAAAGACAAACTCCAAGTAATATCACAGTGACAAGTATGAGATATGTACAAATTAAGTTAAAATTATATCTATGGATGAGGGGAGTATATGTCTTATTTATCAAAGCATAATAAAAGCCAGGTTGTGTAGTGCAGACATGTATAGGCCCTGGGTTTGAATTTATACAACTGATGTAAAAAGATAAATAAATAAATACTGTACTTAGATAAATGTAGAAAATACATTTTTTTGTACAAGATATTAATATTAATAAATTTTCATGCGAGTAACATACATGTATGTATTCAGACTTAATTTATTCAATTTGTCATTTTATTTTATATGAAGCACAGTTTCTTTTACATTGTTCCTATTGAAATTAAAAAAAAATATTCATAACAAATGCCACAGGTGACCTGCCCTGTACAGGTGATTTTCTATTCGTTAATTATGAGTTTTTATGTTGTAGCATGGAGGACAGCGTCCACACATCAAGCTGGAGGTGGAGAATGGAGTCCTCCATCAGAAGCTGATCTTCGCTCAGTCCGTAGAGGAACTTTACGTCGAACCCCACGAATGTGTTATTTTTAACGATGGAATGAAATCCAGTGGATGCAGCAGACCGGAATATAAAAACTATGTAAGTACCAGCTTTGTTGTGGCCTGATAGGTTTTACTGATGATGAAGGGTAGGAGGTGTGTGGGCTGTGGAGGTTCTCTTAGATTCGGTATTATTGTAAAAGTTGTTTGACTATCGAACTTTGTATGTCAAATCAACTAGTACACTTATAATTTTATGCAAAGTTTTCAGATATGCTTACAGTTGTGTGACAATACAGTTACATCTGTAAATAAATTATAATATTTCAATATGAGTTGTGATCTGTGTGTAGTAGAATTACTTACTATTGCATTGCTTATGGGTTCCTAATTACCAGTACTTGTTAGAATATGACAACTGTACTATATAATGTGTAAGACAATGATAAGTTGTTCCTTAGATCAATCAGTTAATCAATGGTTTCCAGCTAATATCTTATGAACCTTTCGCTTGTCAGTCATAAAATTTTTTAAGCAGACTAGATATTTTTTCTTCTTTTTCCTAATCTAATGCTTTTTTAACAATATCTTCAGGCTTTTTGCTCCGGATGGCCTTGATAAATTTGTTTTCTCCAGTTTTCTGGTCATGCAATTGTTTAAGGTGATAATTTTTTTTTAAACCTATTCATATACATGTACAGACATCCTAGTATTTTGATAAGCATGAAATGTTGGTTGTGATAAATAGAAGACCTCCTTTGATTTTGATAGCAAAAGGTCAATAATCACTTAGTTTTCTGTTATACTGTAGAGTTGTATTGGTTGATTGATATTCATGATATCACAATGTGATTTTAAGGTCCAGGATCAACAGGTTTTCTATCATGACTTTTCCATGTCTGTCTGTTCAGTATATTGGGAACCTTCTGTTTTATCTGATTGTGTGGATAGTTGGTGTTGACATTGAGAAATAAATACTGCTCTGTAAAGGATGGAATGAAAGAGGCCTAAATGTTTGACATATATTTCTTACATTAGATAAAAGGAAATAGAACTGTGCTCCATGGTGTTTATGTTATGTTTAGTTGCTAGTTGCCAATCCAGACATGACAGTGGTTATAGATGAGAACTGAGAAAGTGAGTACAGTGTATCTCTATTGTCTAACCCAAGTGTCTCCCTCCAAATGTCTAGAGCTCCTATGCCATTGATTGAGTTTGTTACAAATATAAACCCAGGTTCACAATCAAGTCTAAAGGAAAGACTGTTGTTCAATGAATTAGGTAATTTAAGGGCTACTGTTACATTGTATTTAACTGGGTTGCTTTACTAATTTTAAGCATTTAATATTTAAAAAACTGAATATTATTATGTTTTTTTTGGTTCTGTAGATAATAAAGACCAAAATTTGTTTTCAATCGCCTTGGTTAAGTAGAGTGATTTGTTGATGTCAGAACTTTTTTTTCAATACTTATGTATAATGGGTTTTTTTTTGCTTCTAGAAAAATGAAATATTGAATTGAGAAGGTATCTTGCACTCAAATAAAGTTTCTTCATGCCATACTTTCATTGATTTCTTGGTTTTGAAAAGTTTGGGAGGTATTGACAATGGCTGAGTTATTAAATTAAATTATGAGGAACTATATGGAATAAATTCAATAGCAACCCAAGTTTTACTTGTTAAACCTGGTTGGGAACAGTTTGTTCTTTTTTATAAACCATTTTGTGGTTTAAACTATTTACAAATGACTGTTTTATTTTTCAGCATCCCTAATAGTTGAGGACACTTGGTATTTTTAACACTTGCTTTATAAACTCACTCTTTGGAAGCTTCAGAACAGCTGAAACAGAACTGTTTATTCTGTGTTAACAATCAAACCAGAAATAACAATTGAGTCACATTTTTATCAAGGGATACAAGTATTTTTCCTTTAAGATAAGCCTTTTTATGTTTTTTTTCTTCAATTTTGGTATTTTATGGGGTCTTTTCCCCTAAAAATTAAACTTACCTTTATTATACAGATTTGAAGGGTTTAGTTTTAATTTTTAAAATTTTTTATGGTTTTCATATATGCTCTCTTTAAATAATGATAGTGATGTGATAACAAAATCTGCTCAGTAAAGGTAACCTTTCTTTTAATTTCTTTATTTCTTATGCAATGATCGACTAGGGTTAAGTTAATGGAACAGGTCCAAGTTGATATTAGTCCTATTGCTTAACTTTTCATACTAGCTGACCAAACATGCATGGATTATGCTTCAAGGGATGCACCATACTATGTTTTAGATGCTGTATCTGTCCTAGCTGTATTATCTGTATGATAAAAGTGGTTATGTTTTAGAGAATGGGTCCATTCCAAAGTAAAGTAACTGTTAACCCTTTGATGACCACATTGTCAATTGATGAACAATGGGTTTCCCTCAGATCTTGCATCTGACCTACATTTTCTGGAGGAGTTTACTAGGCTCAAGTTTTATTGAGCAGCTCCATTCCCAAGTGACTAAAAGCCCTATACAGTGAGCAAACTAGCTAGCATGGATAGTGCATCTAGGAATGCACACGTCTACCAAATGTGCCATGATGGCAGATCCAAATTATCATTGAATCCCCTTATTGACTTCTTGATTAAAAAAAAAATACAGGTAGTGTACAAACATACCATTCTTTTTCTATTTAAAAAAAAAATGAACATCTAAATTGCATTGAATTAAAAAAAAATCACATTATTTATTTTTTAAATTCATATTCAAAATAAGAAAGTATTTATATTTCTATGTAAATTCAGATTTGTAAGGAATGTCCAATTCACATATCAGCATTTTTAGTAGTTTTTTTTAGTGATATGTAATGATATTTGCTTATTGTGAGAGTATAAACTAACTTAAAGAGTGATGCAGATGCCAATTCTTTGAAGATTAAGATGAAATTCACATGTCCAAAAAGCACAAACATAAGCAATCAATATTCATAGGTATATTTAGAGTTGGCAAAGAGGTCAAGTTCCTTGCCTGTAATTTTTGCGAACAAAATCCATAGCAATTATGTTACTGAAAGTCAATATTGCCGTAGAATAAAGGAAGGGGGGGTCATACTTCACTTGAAAGTCCTAAGAGCAAAAATCAAGGTCACTTTCCAATTAAGTAAAGGGCCTTTAACAGAATGATATTTATATTAGGGCAATAAGCATGTGTTTTGCAAATCACAAGTGTAAGAAATGAAGATTAATCATTGGGAACTAGGAAAAGACAAAAGACTAGTCTACAAATACATGTGATTCAATTTCATTCAAATTTTTGATCATCATGGTGAGAAGTGGACACTTGTACAGTACTTTAAATTGTTTTAGGTAATTTTTTTCACTTAATTAGCTGATGTTTATTTTTTTTTAGACAATTAAGATTCAGTGCTTTTAACACATGCAGTTTTCTAAGATATTTTATTTTCCTTTCATATCAGAGTTGCTCAAAATGTTATTTGATACTGTATATATATATATATATATATATATATATATATATATATATATATATATATATATATATATATATAAAAGAATGAATAAACCATTCCAGAATGAAAGTGGTCCTGAGTTTTTGAATTTCTCTATATGTATACTGCATACATGTTTTTATGCAAGCAGACTGAAGTTTTCCCATTTAGAGTAAACCAGAATATTTTATGCTGATTTAAGATATGTAAAATTTTATCAAGTTCAAATAATGTTCTGCACCAATTCTTGATATTTGGTGGATTAGGAGAAAAAGCTACTTTAAAACATAGAATTTAACATAAGAGTATTTTGAGTTAAGATTAGGAAAAGATAAAGGTATAGTTTGTGAAAGCACAAGAGGTATAGTCTGTCCCACGACCGGAACGTCACTACTTTTTGCAAAATATCTCAAAATAAATAAATACCTTGGCCTTCAACCTATGTCTGATTGGTAGATTGATTTTTTTGCCAAACTTCCTACATTTATATACCCTCGAGGTCAACCGGTGTATACACACGGCGGCAAATTCAAAGTCTACGGGGATTTAACATTGTCATTAACAACCTCCCCTTTATGCTAAGGCAATATTATCTTGGATATCCAGAAAAGACAACACGAATAATGTTATTGATGGAGGTAAATTATCTGTTGTCTAATGTTGTTATTGTGAATTTTTTCTCTTTTAATTTCAACTTGAATGAATGTTGTTTCCCTGATACAATGACAGAGCCATTTTGTTAATGCCCTATAGATTTTCATTTGCATGGCTAATTTTATAGAGTTGATTTTTAAAGCAGTACTGTTGTTGTTCAGTGTAATGTGTTTTTGTTCTGCTCATGTACCCTGTGTGTAGGTTTCTGAGTCTCTGATTATGATAAATTACATTTTCCTGAAATTTCCCTGAAATTCGGTGATGTGTTTTCATTTCTTACAAAGTGTTGATGTTGTGATTTCCTCAGCAGCAGCCTTAAATTATTTATCTTGTTGATAGCAGTTTAAATCAACTGATGTAAATTTTACATTTAAAAAATAGGGCCAGTCCACACTTGGTTAAGGTACTCTAGATCTAATAAACAGAGATAAAGTAGTAGATTTAAATCCAATGCCCTTAATTTCTGCAGGTCTTATGTGGAAGTGACAATACTTGTATTAGCTGAAATAATCCAGATAGCTTTTTTGTGTGGATTGGCTCTTGTTGGTATTTATTTCTGATTCAGTATATGAGTATGAAATATTGAAGCAACATAATATATTGATATGTTCATGTTTAGCTTTGTATATTGTATACAATTCTGTTTTTCTCAGTTTCATTTATCATTATTTTTACAGCCTTAAAAAATATAATGAAAGCACACTTAGTTCTTAGGAATGATCAGTATTCTATTTTATTTTATCTAGCTACACAACATCATCACCAACAAAATCGACTATGAGCAGGTTGAACTTATTCTGATGGAGCACCTAAATGCCCAAAATGACCCAAAACACCAGACCAAGTGTTCAGGAAAAACTCAGAGTTGTAGCTGTTCTGAAACTGCCTCCCCTGATGTCAAACCCCCAAAAGGCCCCATGGTAGAGAAGATTGAAAAAGTGACCTTGACCTGGGGGAGTGAGGATGGGAACCCAAACAAACCTGACGTGTCTGACGGGAAGGAGCAGGAGATCGCCCCAGTGGAGCAGCTGCCAGACAGTGAATTACCAGGTAATGTAGGATTCTACTGAGTAGTTAAAGTATTAAGTCACTAGGAATAAACACATCACAAACAAAACTTTGGAGCTGTATACAACCTTGAAATATTAAATTTTTAGTCTTTTGTTTTGAATATAATTGAACATTGAAATAATTGGAGTTAATGTGGTCTTCTAGCACTTAAAAGTAAATTTTATCTCTCAACTGTATTTCATTAAAACGAGATTAAAACTTTACTACTTGTAGATACCACACACCACATAGGTAGGAGGTACCATATAGCCATGCCTTCTTTGGAGGAATGCCAGAATATGCCTAAAATGGATTTTACTGAGTTCACCAGCACTTTCCTTTGTGTGTCTGCAAAAGGCATAGAGTAAGTTCTATTGTCATTATCCTCATGTTAAATGTTGGTGACATTTTCGTGATAATCATTTTGTACATAGTGGACAGTGCAAAAGATTTTTAAAATAGAAGTCCTACTAGAAACTGCACAAGTTGTAAAACAATTAAAACAATAAAACAGTTGTACAGAAGGTAATATATAAAAAAAAATCATGTGTCAAAATGATTTGAAAGTCCAAATCATTGCTTCATGAATTCTGGGATATCTCAATATTTTTCTCTTAAGTCCATTGAGCTCAAGATAACAAGGTTTGATCGTATACTAAATGAAATTTTCAAGTTATACTGTACTGTAATACGCAAGTTTCGAGATTATCTCCCTTGGTGCGCTCTTTCGTTGAGGAGGGGAGATTGGTTGCCGCGTAAATTTATTATTGGATATACTCATCGATATACTTTTCTTTATAATTGTAAAGATTGTTCAGTAACCAATTTAAAGTAAAGATGTCATTTTTTAAAGCAAAACATCGGAACAGAAAAGAAAATTCAGAGGATTTGAGACTTTTCAGACAGGGAAGAGATATATGGACCTCTAATATGAACATTTTCACATGTTAAACACATGTTTTTTTACCTTATTATAACTTAAAAAAAAAACACTCTTTTTAGTGTTGTCTTTTAAATTATTTTGTTTTCTACAAAAATGTAAATATACACACTTGATAAAATGACGCATACTGCTTAACATTTTTATCTTCTATTTTTTAAAGTTTAAAAGCCATAAACATCGTTGATTTATTTATGCGCGGGGCTGAAATGGATACTTTTTGGGGAGAGTTACCTCGAAACTCGTGTATTGAACATTGAAATAGCTATAACAGTAGGATGTTTAGAAAATACAGAACTGTACAGGGATATCTTTTCATGTTGATAGAATTACTTGACCACCTCTGATTTTAATCTTTGTACACAGTTTGAGGAAACATATAGATTTTGAGACAGTGATTAAGAGGAACCTGGAGGAACCTGTTTGTATGACGGACTTCTACAGTGACCTAGAACTGGACATGTTACCGGGGATCGTCAACAAGCTCCACCTTAACTACCACCCCGAGAGTGTACTCAAGGAGGTCCTACAGAAACTCGGGGGCGATAAACAACCGGTGGAGGTTATGGGGACAAGGATCGCACAAGCTCTAAAAAAGGTAAACTAACTGTTCATATATGGGGTCCGGAATAACACAAAATAAAAAAAATACAGCAATGGTTACATATTGGTTTGTGTTATTGAAAATAGTTACACATAATTGAAATTAAACAACCAGCAGTTGGCATGTTCTGTATTCTAGATTATAGGACCAGCATTTGGACAAAAAGTTGATCACAATAAGGACTGGGCCTGTAAATCAACTACTGTGGATATTGAAAGTGTAAGACTTTTCAAAATGTTTTACATTGACTGTTTGATTTTCAGAATATGACATCTTGGGTTCTGGCTAGCACAGCAGCGTTATACTGGAGGGTGGAGGGGGATGCTAAACGTGCCATAGACTGTCTCCGGCTGGCTCTGACCACAGCTCCAAAGGATGTACAGGTCAGCCAATACTGAGAAACCACATGACCTACATTTTTATATTAAATAATTATGAATGCAGGCAAAGGCTGATAACTAAACTGTAATGACTGTCAGAAAAAGTCAAAATTGGAAGTACTGAAATGGAAATATGTCTTCATTGTATTGATGTACAAGTTGACAATTCATACTAGTATACATAGATGATCCTTACATCGGTGTAACATTAGAAGTACCAGTATTCAATGGCCATAGTACTATTTACACTAAACACAATGATTTTTAATTACAGGATACTGCTCTTATCAGTGTTGCCAACATTTTACACAGATCCGGCTATTTGAATGATGCCATAGTGGCTACAAACATGGCCCTGGATGTACCAGTCAAACTGGTGGTCAGCCACTTCACGATGGCCAATCTCTATGCAGCAAAGGTAAGGAATATACATGTATTATGTTTATTATTAATCTTTTCTCTATCCATGTGTTTGAATTTGTTATTGCACATTCTGATGACAAAAAATTATACTAGACTTGTGTAAACTTTTTACCTGGGTAATTTGTTATAAAGGACAAAAATTCTTGGAATATTGTGTTAACTTAAAAAAAAAGTTGCCTATTGTATTCATTAACAAAAAAATCCTAATAAAAAATTTTAATTACAAAGTTTTACTGTATTAATGAAATTGTCTCAAAATACGATTTTATTCTTCAAGCACTTTAAAAATATACACAATCTCCATAATTTCATTATTTGATTCAGGGTCAGTGGGATAAGGCCACCATGTTTTACGAGTCAACATTAGGACTTCAGTCTTCCTTTGAGGCAGCTAAACAGAGACTGAAGAGAATTAAATGTCGCTTTGTGATGCAGAGGCCGGAGAACCAATCAGGGAAAATCCACAGACCCTGAACCGCAACCTTATCTTTAATTACAGGGTTTTCAGTTTTACTTGTATTTTATATGAAGATAGTCCCATTTTTTTAATTACACCGTTTGTTTTGTATTTTTGCGAGGATACAGTTTCAAAGATTTTTATCTGACATCATGTTTCTGGATAATATGCAGACAAGTAGCTGTCTTATGTTTATTGGGTTGTACTGAAGGTTTGAAAACCTAGTAAATCAGTGTTGGAATAATTTTTTGGAACTTTGGAAGGCTGGATCCATGTTAGTCTTATAATTGCTTTTTTTCATTTGTTAGAGTTTCTAAAAGGTGCTTAGCTATTACAGTCATTGCAGCTGAAATAGTGATATTTGAAATATAGCTGTGATGTTTTTGATCTCATTAATTGCATGTGTTGTTTACTTGTGACTGAGTTGTGTAAATCATGTGAATGATAATTTGAATCTGTTGAAATATTTAACAGGAAAATTAGGGATGTGCGATTTTATTGGTATACCAGTATATCGCGATTTTTTGTTGCATGATACGTATCGTGATACGGAGACCTAAATACCGGTCTTTAGGTACATATTATAAAGTCCAGAAATTATTCATTTATTTGTTCAATCTTTTAAATTACAATTACAGAAAGTACAAAAAATGTTGTAAAAAGTGAAAAGAACGGCATCTTACCATCCAAACCTAATTGATTTTATTTACATAAAAATTTCAAGGAAGTAAAATTTTGTTTATCTAGGCTAAGCATATTTTTTAGAAAAATAATGACTTTTCATATAAAATCATTGTTAAAACTGCTTTGATATTATTAATGATAATATTATTAATGATATTATCGTGAAATTGTGGGGAAATATCGTGATATATCACGATACGAAATTTTTGGTGATACCCATCCCTAAGGAAAATACTTCATCTGTAATTTTTTTTTCAAAAATCCTGCAAGAAAATAACAATAACTGATAGCTCAGACGAAGGATTTTACTTTGGATAGTGTATTTCCAAATCTGTTTGTAAGCAAGTATAAAGAAATAAAAATTGAGGATTTTTCAAAACTTTTAATGGGGATGGGCTTTGTGCCTGGTAACAAGTTATTAGATTCTGAAGTTGAGGGGGGTGGGGATTTCTTAAAATATTTGATTGTACAAGATCATGGCTTCCTCATCCTGCATCTTATTAACTCTTAAGTATTTATAGCAAGGCTCCTACAAGGAATCTGTGCTTTCAAGGCAGAAAACATGCTTATATAACAAAATTTTAGGGATGGATAAGATTGATTATTATATCAGTTAATAAAGTTCGTGATTTTATAGCCTTAGGAATGGAAATCAGGATATAGTAAGGTTCAGTTCATTTCAAGAACTTTTTTCTTAATATTCAAATTTAAAATTAGGTCAGTATCATTTTTAACGATTAACTTAAAATGTACTTAATACTCCAGCAATAATTATGTTAGCCCTATTGGTAATGGGCAATATAATGCTTTATCAATATTTTATGATATACAGTTCAATGTTTACCACAAATCCAACTCATTTTCATTCTTTCCTCATTTTTATACTTTTCTGGTTCTATAAAATTTCAGTCAGTCCTCATATTTTAAATATATCTTGTGCTAATTGATAGCAGTACATGCTTTATATTTTTAGTTATGAAATATTTCCTTATATTTACCCCCGGCCATTTACAACTACACATATTTCATGGACATATTCCTTATTAAAATTGTACTTGTAAAACTTTTAAAAAAAAAAAAAAAAGCATTAATTTTGTATATTTAAATAAAACAAAAAGTGTTTAAAGGGTTTAAATACTGCTTTATAATAATTAATAATAATTAATAGAAACTCAATGTATACGGTAGATATAAGCAGGGAAATTTAATGTATACAGACGCACTAAGAAGATATAGGGTCTGCAGAGCCAATTTTCTGTTCTCATGTACATGTACATCAGGTTGTCATGTTTCATTTTGACTGGTTGTCATCTTTATTATACATTGACACAATCATTGTGTACATTTATGGTTAGGAAGCTTCATTGCTTTTGTGATCTAGAAAAATCTCTAATCACTGTAACTTCATTTTAAATATTTTAAATAATTTTTTTTGATTTATAATAATTAAAAGTAATAACATATTTCTTTTTATTCTGAGTTTTCATCATTGTACCATTGTTCTTGTTGCGAACATTGACAAAGCATAATATGACTTCTTATCAGCCTTGCAATTGAGCTAAGTGAATAGATGTAGTGAATAATACACAAGCTTATTATGTTACCTGTATAATTGTTTAATAATTTCAATTGTGTTATAAATTATTTCTTTTGCTCGCTCTGTAATAGCAAGGGGTATTTAATGATTAAAATGTGATTGATCATTTGCAATTAAAAGCAAGAATGCATTTTCTGTACATTGTCATTCCGGCATTTGACAAAAAATTTTCCAAGAAAGGAGAAAATTGTGACTGGACTGGGAATCAAGGCTGTGACAGCCTGCATTACTTGTCAACACTCTAACCACAGATACATGTATCTAGAGTCATATCACCAAAACCAATACAAAATGATAAAAGTATACTGAATGATTGGTACTGATGGCATATTTGATATATATACCTTTATTTGACAATTGCCAATTATCTGTGATTGAGCTATCACATAGAAAAGTGAGTCATTTCTGTCACAGCTGTTCTACATAAAGTTTCTAACAGAAGGCCCAAGGCCTGAAATCATTTCAGATAAATTGTCCACCTTCACTTCTACTCTAAGCCTCTCTATGTGTATCGTAAATATAATGTATTTAGATAAAGCCTTGATATAGGTCACAGTGACTTGCTTTTTGAGAACCTTGGATGCATCAATTAAATTGACAAGGATGGAGGATTCAAGCTTCTTGTCATATGAAATATTTATAGCATTTATCCAACAGTAGGTCATTTTGGCGTTGTTTTTGTATGACACAATCTGAGAACTGTTATGATGTTATTTCAAGGGTGATATGTATATACAGAGCATTCGATGAATACATGTAAATATGTTGACAGAATAATGATGGGGATGTGGGTTTATGACAAGGGTTAACTCTAAAATCCTCGAACACAGGTCCCCTGCAGATGATGATTCCAAGGGGTTTATATCTCTCAGTTGATTAGATATGCAAAGTATAAGTACAATTTCTAAAACAAGGTATATTATTGACAAACAAGTTGATGAATCAAGAACATCAGCAGTCTCATTTAAAGTAATTTTGTTAAGTTCCATGGTAGATACAATGACCTTGTCAGCAAATACAATTTATCATGGAGTCAAATGCTGACTGACATTTCTAACCAATTGTTAGTCCATTATTTACACACTGAATTGACGACAGTGTTTTTCCGTTATTTCTGGATCATGACAAGGAGCACACAGCAGTCTGTGTTTGCTCTGCTCTACTTTATATTGTTTTATGGACTTTTGAATACTGTTTGTTATGTCCATATATTTCACAGTATCAGAAAATGTTAAAAGATGTCAAAACAAATATGAGGAAATATACATAGATGTGTTGAAATAGAAAACAACTCATGCACTGATAAAACTTTTAATATTTTATATTATGAATCAATGATGATATACACATGTATGTATAACAGATGTACAAGATTCTTTAATCTATACCAGAACATTCACTAAGTTCCATTTCCATCAGAATTTTCTCTGCTCACACAGCGTCCTTCTAAGACTGACTGAATGATTCGACCAAGTCTTTCAAGTTTGAGCTTGTTTGCTGCAGTTTTTAAGGTATCTACAGGATTATATGATTCATTTGTGGAGTCCTTAAGAGTGGTTATGAAGTAATTCAGACGAAGCCTGCTGACGGATTCGTTCAGGTAGATGAAGAGATTTTTGTGTTTCATTTCTTTCGACAAATTCTCCTCCTCTTCTGTCATGGCCTGTAACATTGAATACAGTTTTATATCACTTATTTTTTTTTTTTAACTCAGAAACTACATAATAGCCTTTACAATGCAAAGAAAGAAATTTTTGTACATCAAAATTCAAATGTTCAAACTGGTCAGCTGTGTATGCACACCACACATCTACATTGAAAATGATAAAATGGTTTCGGTTCTACATTTCTGACTCTTGTGGTATGGCACATTACTTGGTATTTAAATTTTAAAGAAAAAAAATTGGTGTACTTGTTCACAATAAAATGAATTTTTCCCTTTTTCCATAGACCAATGCTTGCTGGTTTTCTATAATCAATCAATTGTACTGTCAAACTTGTTATGATTTTAATTTTTTTCTTTTCTCTAAATTCAAATTGAAAAATGTTATCCTTCACAATAGCACCCAGACCCCCCAAGCAATACTTTATCTGAGCCTTTGGCACAGTGTGCTAATATTATGGAATGTTATAATATCACTCAAAAAAGTAATGTGGATGAGTTTATCCTTGAAACTTACCATGTGAATGGAAAACAAAACATCATATGCAAATCCCTGAAGGATTCTATAGAGCATCATCAAGTGTCTCTTAGTTTTCTCTGACATTTCATCATCATCATCCTCTTCATCATTAGCCACATCATCGTCTGATTTCTGAGCCACCTTTTCATCGGTTTTGTTGTCATCAGCAGAAGATGAACACTGTGCCTCTTCTGTGTCTGTTTTGTCCCCCTCTCCATCTACATCAGGCTCCTTTTCCAATTCTTTGTCTTTGGCACTTTCCTCGGAATTAATTTGCTGAATGTATGGCATCAATGGCTCTAAAATTTTCAGGAATATCCTCAATAATTTTTCATCTGAAAAGAGAAAGCCCTGTTTAAGTGAACATCAAGTTCTTTGCCATTTCAAACAAGAAGTCTGTGAGCCAATGCTCAATAGTAATACCCCCACTCTGATGTGAATATACACTATCATGTTTATATACACAAGTCCAGTCCCGGATAAAGAGAAGTTGACATCAGGTTCATACAAAAATAAATCCCACAATATGGCATGTCTCAACAAAGTATGTGTTAAAGCTGAACATGACTAGTAAATAAGCATATGCTATTTTTGATATTATTATCTACAATATATCAACACTGGGGTATACTCTTCAGATTCGTTACACCTGCTGCTTTATTGTCATGGGTATAGGCATGGAATGTCGACCCATGTTCGTGCTGGTTATCTTGCATTACCTTGGTTTACATTTTATTGCAGTTACGCAGTATACATGTATTTGTGTTTGTTTGTATACTGCACTAACCTGTGCAACTGTTGTAAGTGTCTTTGGTATCTTACTTTCCTGAACTGGGAGAGGTACAAAGTTATTTTTATCAATACTTAGTATTTTATAGGATTACGTCCGTATACCCCGGTGACAATTCCTTACACTGAACAGTGACTAAGTGATTTGCTCTATTTATAGGGGTCTGCAGATATAGCGAGAGCTTGAACAAAAATGGCGGACAAATTCCTTTTACAAATCGTGTTCATCTTTTAAATTTCAATCATCTGCAACAAGTAGTTACTGAGAAAACTGTGACGAAAATTTGTTATGCATGGTACTGACAGATGCACGGATAAAGAGGAAGTTGACATCAAATTTAAAAAAAAAAATGAATCCCACAATATGGTATGGCTCAGCAAAGAATGTGCTAACATTTAAAGCATCTGCAATGACCAGTTGCTATGAAAACTGCAATGAAAATTTGTTGTGATAGTAGGAACAGACACACTGATAAACAGGAAGTTGACATCAGATTTGACCAAAAATGAATCCCACCATATGGAATACCTCAGTGAAAAATGTGCTAAAATTTTTTAGTATAGTTGCAATGAGTAGCTGCTGAGAAAACTGCAAAAAAAAAATTGTTACGGACAGACACACTGATAGACAGATGGACAGACACACAAGGGTTAAACAATATACCCCCTCTCCTTAATAATTATATTCTTCAGCTTAGTAACTGAAATATATCCAAAAAGAATATTTGTACATGTATTTTTCATAATCTCAGATAAAAAAATTTGACGAAGACTGATCTATGCTTGTTTACCTCTGAGAAGCTTGGCTGCCGTTTCCTCATGAGAAGTAAATATGACATTGAGGACAGACAGGGCTGAGGATATTGCTGCCTCCCGCCCCTCCAGTCCTACTATTTCATCTTCACAGAGTATTCCGAGGTACTTCATCAGCGGGGGGCATAGGCCATCAGCACACTCAACTATACACAAAAAGTATAAAGTTCAATGACACATTCATATTTTACATGCATAACAAATGTTTGCAGCTGGTCAAGATAGCCTGAAGGTAAAGTGTTCACTTCATCATCTAGAGAGCGTGGTTCAAATTTCATTTGCTGCTTCAAACCGAAGATGCATAAACATAGGTAGTGACTGTTCCTTCTCCAATTCAAGTATCCATCATAAGAAGTGAAGGCATTATAGTCTTTCTAATGAGAACTAAAAAATGGAGGTGCCATGTCATTGAAGAATAAAAGACCCTTGCTGCTCAATGGCCACAAGTGCCAAGTAAGGCCTAAAGGTCTAAATTTGTAGCCTTTCACTGCTTTACAGTGACATCTTTATACGAGTGAAAAATTCTTGAAGGGGACATAAAACATTATACAATCTATTAACCAAACAGTCAGAGTCAGACAAATCCAACACTGTTTTAGTTTAATTACATAAAAAACGTATAAATAAAATATAATTATCAGTTTATTTTTATTCCAAAAAATTATGGATTATTACTTTTAGCACTTGAAAACTCTTAATTTAATTCTGGACCTGTATGTATTAAAGTAAAGGAGCTAAGATTCACTTACCTAGAGATTCGACCCCTGTTTCTGTGGTGGACAGCAGCTGGAAGATATGTAAGTAGGTTTCCAGGGCTTCACTGTGTTTACATCTGAATCAAAGACAGTAAATAAGTATGCAAAATCTGATTCATATGTCCTTCAAAAACACAAGAAATTAATGTTTCAGGCTTATTAACATTTTATAATCCTACACATAACTGACTACCTTCAGAAATCACTGGGTTTTTTTTGTTTTGTTTCATGATTCAGCTATATACAAATCAATGAATTTATCAAATCACTTCTACTTTTATGGATTATATAAAGAAAAAGCAAAGAATCTGTTACCCGATCTGTTTGATTGCTTCCAGCATGGACTGTATAAGAAGGGGTGTGGCCCACTTTTCACAAAGCTCCTCATCTACATCTAGTAAAACATCTAAAAACTCAGCCGTGTTGTGTAGCAGATCACCTATAAGAGCAGTGCATAAATGTAACTTGTAAATTACATAGGGCATGGTACATGTATCTTCAGAGATAGATAACTCATGATAACAATTCCATTGCAATTCATTTATATATACCATCATTTGATTTGAATCTTCATATACAAATAACAATCATTAATCTGTAGTTTAAAACTTAATAATGAATTATTGTAAAAAAAAAAAAAAATCATTTGATTACTGGGATTCATTAAAAATCTAAAGAAACATTGACTACATTTTGTGGAGCTTTGAAAGATAAAGTTGATGTGATCCTGGATGTTTTCTGATCGGGTGATAGTCTCAATCCACGCCCCCCTGGCCGCAGGGTTAGACAGACTGGTGTAAAGAAACCTGAAACATTAGACAGTTTATAATGTTAACATACTACATGTACTTTATTGTGGACTTTCGCCTTTGATTTATGACATCCTTAAATATAATGTAGTAAACAAGACATTTTTCTCCTTAGAACAACCAAAGCTATACCAATTCATACCTGGTTGTTTCATTTAATGTCTGAGGATCAGAATTGTCTAACAGCAGCAAGGCCATGCTCCTAAAACAATTGAATTAGTTTTATAAATAAGAATTTTCAAGTTTATTATTGATAAAATCATTAGCATTGTACATGTATGGAATGTGAAAAATCAAGCTTACCTAACTTTTTCATTTTCTGACATTGTCACACAAACTGTTTCATCACAAGCCATGTTTCCCAAAATACCTACACAAATCTCCTGTCAGAAGAGAAATTGACATTTAAACAAGTAAAAGTTCATACTAGGACTAAATTTTTAAAAATGAAAAAAATCTCATTTATATACGAGGGTTGATCCAAAAGTAATATCACAACTTCGATAAAATTTCTCCTAGTCGACGTAAATTAACAAAATTTTACATGATGGAAGCTATATATATTTTAAATCAGTCCTGAAAAATTCAAATTAAAATGACTTATACTTTTCAAAATATCGAATTAAACACAGAGTGCGATTATGGTAGTCGCCGCACCTAAATAACGTCATAAAACGGATCTATGCGCCGTCACACACTTTTAAAAACGCCTTCACATCGTTTTATTAAAAAAATGATATTCACAAAACATTCACATATTTTATTTTCTTTAAGAACAATTGGCACCAATTGTACACTTTATTTATAATTTAATCCCTCATCAAAATTCTATGAACAATACCATAAGACAAACTTTAAAGTGTCTCATATCACTCAAACTGCCGCTAATCTCTTTTACGACAACGTCGACGCCATTGAACGTTTCCACCCGACCTCCTATCTTTCGGTATTTCTGTCCCCAAATGATCATTTATTTACCTATTACCCGCCCAAAATCTCTGAAACCATCTATGAACAAGTCTCGTTGACATTCTTTCCTCTGCGAGTTTGATTTACCATCATAACTGTTTCTACTTGTGATTTCCCAATTTTGAAAGAAAAATACATTACAACTCGTTTCGGTGTTTCATTCCATTTCGACATTTCCTTTCTGCAATACATCAGATATAAACAATATTGTTTATGATGAAAAAAAAAAACAATGCTGCCATTTAATTTTTAACTAAAGATCAGAAAATGTCGTAAAATTTGTCTTTTAAAATATTGGACGGTTAGACGATTTTTTAGATACTTTTTTAAATGTGCTTGTCTTTTTTCATTCTAACAATATTTACTTTAAAACGTGACGTTTAGTTGTGACGCGGCGACACCCCCTATGTTTAATGTTTAAAACATCTATAAAATGAATTCAATTGAACATTATTAAATGAAATTTTCAATTTTGATTAGATTTATGTTTATGCATCTTTTGGTGCATTATATTTGATAATATGACGCCAAATATTAAAGATATGGACACAGTGACATTACTTTTGGATCAACCCTCGTATATCTTTAAAATAAATTTTATTAGCAGCAGACCTTATAGATAGTTGGTCTGAAAAATTGGGATGGACAAAAAGATTGAGAGAGCGAGCCAGTACTACTGCCACCATTAAAAAAATTGCACATTTATTGCACACAAGAAATATTGTGCCATGTTCGTGATTTATTACTCGATCTGTATATTTAAACTGCCATTTCCAAATATTTTTAACATATTTTAAAAATTTTCTACAATGAAACATTTAGAAAGACTGTGGTGATAGCCCCACCCCACAACCTGAAGTGAGATCATCAAAAATTTGGCTTATTTATGCATGTACTCTTACATGTAGGTGGCAAGACAATAAGGTCCATCCTGCTTTAGCATATGTCAGCTAAGAGATTGACAAAGATCTAAATTGAACGTTTGTGCAGTTTAACATGCTGAAGTAAGAAACTGGAGTAATAAATCCTGAATCCAGCACTTTGTATGAATAAATAAACATTTTTTTGCTTTGGAAAGCACTGTAGCAGCGTCACCTCATAATGGCAGAAAAGCTAAATAAGTATCACTTACTGTGACCCTGGGAGCTTTTGATTTGCCAATAACTCCAACAAATATATCAATAGCTTTGAATTCATGGAGAAACTGGACCACTTCCTGTAAAAATATTCAAAAGAATCAGAAAAAATATAAATTGGACAATTATTTGAAAGTCCATCATGTATATATGCCTGATAAGAAATCCTATGCTATACCAAATAACATTACAAACAAAAATTTTACCTAGAAAGACAATTTATATGTAAACAACATATGTTCTATAAATGTTTCCATCATATAGTATAAGAATGAGACTTCATATGAACAAACTCCTGTATCCACTTTGACATTCCCCTGAATTCTGCTATGATTTCCCAGACTTACGGAGTTCATGGACATGTCCCAGAGTTCACACAGCTCGTTCTGTAAGTCTTCGTCCACATCCACACTGAAATCATTCTCCCCATCCCCTACCGCTCTGTTGTCCCTCTCTTTATCTACTTCCTGTCAATACAAAATGGAATTTTTACATGGGGACTCAGGAGATACTGATAAAGAGAAATGCATGGTTATTCCTTAAACTCTCTCTCATTCATTAAGAAATTTTAAAACAGTGGACTAAAATCATAAATCATTTATTTATATTTTAATCCAAATGCATTTTAAAATACAGAGACTACAGACCAAACTAATATCTATAAACTCAATAGTGGTTTAAGTTCATCCCCACCCACCCAAATATATTATATTGTGGAATTACAATTTCCTTTTTCCTCCATTATCAAATAAATCTGTTCACAGATTAAATATGAGTTATGGTAGTTTCTTTACAGTATAAATTTATTGTTATCGTGTAAGACCTAAATATAGCAAACATTCTGAATAACAAATTCAAAACCTTTTTATACTATGTAAAGTCATACATAATTATAAGTTTCTACAATCTCATAATAATAATGTAATCACAATATTACTCTCTCTCATTCATCAGTTTGCTAGCTTTCAAATTAATATTCTTTTAATAAGGTGTACAGTTCGGTGCCAGACAACTCACCGAAAGACAGATCACCAACAAAAGTGAAAATCACCGAATGGACAATTCACCGACAATAGTGTCAGTGAGAAGAAATTCATGGACAATGTTTTCATAATAATTGTTAAATGTCAAATTAACTAATCTGTTCAGATATAATAAACACATCAAAGATGTATAAAAAAAACCCATGTATTTCTTTGTCTTTTTTGTATATCCATCATTGTTGGTCTAGAGCATACAGATTGCTTTTCGTGCATCCGAGCAAGGTCATAGGTCGGCAATATTAGGTGAAGTTTTTGATTTAATGAAAAAAAGATTTGAAAATGAATAAGAACATTTATTCACATGCTCGATTTTCTCTAAATATTTGTTAAATTTCGATGTTTTCTAAATTCGGTCGATAATGTGTCTGTTGGTGACCCTTCTTTTGGTGACTTGTCGTATCGGCGAGTTTTATAGTTGTCGTTCGGTGAGCTGTCTTTCGGTCACCTGTCATAGACCCGTACAGTTTGATACAATTGTTTCTTCTGCCATTGATATACCAGAAACAGATATATTTTTTCCAAAAAAAAAAGTCTTAAATAAAAAGTCAGGAAATATCTCACTCAATTCACGTATTTACTTATCTTGGAAAATCAATTTTATTTCTAAATAAGTCTTTGACATGATTAATTCAAAAAGTGTTTAAACATTAATATTTTTCACTGCCACCAGAGTAATACTAAGAAATGTTTTTGTACTCTAGCTGGCAGGTGTTTGAAAGATAAAGAGGGGGAGGATGTGGCATGTGTTTGAAAGATATAGAGAGGGGGAGGTTGGGGATTTTTTTTTCTTCAAAATTATACAGTGTAATATCCATTATAGTGATCCATTAAAAATGATTTTAATCAATTAGTTTTTTAATCATATAATATTATTTTCAATTACTTTTTTAATATTCCTTCAAATTTTTTGTTATTTGTAAGATAATTTGTTCAAATCATCAAAGTGGTTTCAGGTGTACTAATAATTATAGACAATACTAATTAAGAAGTTAAACATCAAAGGGGGAAGCCATATCATCAATAAGCACTTGACACCTTGTACAATTATCAATGGAATCACAAAATAAACAGTAATTATGAAGCCAAGAAAACTGGCATGTCAGTATCCCTTACAAATCCCTTTGATTCCCCTGGCACATCAATGGAATAGCCCTATTTTTTTTTACTTAAATAGAAGTGAATTTGCTCCTTCTCTACACCTCAGCTGTCAACTGAATGGTCACTATGCCTTCACAAGTAAGAATTTTTTACCTCTAGCTTATTACACTATGCCTAATCCCATTGGGAAAATTGCTGTTACAAGTAATTTTTAACATACTACAACCATAAATAAATTGCTTGGAATGGAAAATGCAAATAATGACACATTGTACTGTTGTTAACTGGTTTTAGTCAAAATATCATTTCAAGTGCCAATTAAACTTTGATAAGTTTGATAAATACTCTCAATCCTTATTGAACTGTTTAAATTATGCAAGAATGGGTGTGTTCCAATATTATATCCACAGGCCGCAAGACCATAAACTAAGAACTGACTTAAGTCAAAAGAACTATGCATGATAACTCCGGATTCCTGCCACTTTACAACCATTTAATTCAATATTAAAGACAAATTGGCTATAAATTCTTTGTTTAATACAAAAAACAGTTCAATGCTAGTTGATTAATAATTTTAGTACCAGTGCTGTATAGTAAAATATCCCTAATTCCAGCTTTTGAAATAAGGGGGGTAGATTCTATTTTCCACTGATGTCAGCCTAGAAAGCATCACAATTATCTAAAAAAAACTTTTGCATATGAATAAATTTTTCTTATGTTTTATGCATATAAAATTAATCATATATATTAGTAAAACATTAAGTTTCAGTTGTAAAGCACTTGGAAATGGCTGAAAAACTGAGCATTTTTGTCATTTTTTTTGTCTATAAACTTATGTCCTCCCAACCCTGAATCACAAAAAGCTTTGGTTTGAATTTGTGAAATGACAGTCCATATTACCCATCAGAAGAAATTTTTGTGTCACAGATCCAAGGGGTACAGTTTGGTGTTGTGTTAGGTTAGAACTTAGAGTAGTGTTAGTATCAGGCAGTATTCAATGCACCCCCACCAGACGAGTGCTGACCAGTGAATACTTCTTGCTGTTGTGTGAGGTTATAACGTAGGCTTTGTATCACACTTATTTCTCCACAAACACAAATTCTTTGCCAATTTCTGACATCCATACAGCTATGATCAAACTCATATATACCGTTGTCAAAAACATCAAATTGTTACCAACTTTAAGGACATAAATAGAAAGGATCAGTCTCAAAGAAGTGAGACCTCCATATGCTTTTATAATTGTGGCACATTTTGTAACATCATTAACAATAAATAACGACCAGTTCCAAAATAATCCACGAATATCATCTATCAATTTCTGAACACGAAACCAAGGATATCAATTGAAGACACCTTAATTTTGATAAACATAAAAACTTAGAATAGAGTAGGGTTAGTATCAGGCAGTATTCCTCCCCCACCAGAGGGGTGCTGACCAGTGAATACTGTTTGGTGTTGTGTTAGGTTAGAACTTAGAGTAGGGTTAGTATCAGGCAGTATTCCTCCCCCGCCAGACGGGTGCTGACCAGTGAATACTGTTTGATGTTGTGTTAGGTTAGAACTTAGAGTAGGGTTAGTATCAGGCAGTATTCCTCCCCCGCCAGACGGGTGCTGACCAGTGAATACTGTTTGGTGTTGTGTTAGGTTAGAACTTAGAGTAGGGTTAGTATCAGGCAGTATTCCTCCCCCGCCAGACGGGTGCTGACCAGTGAATACTGTTTGGTGTTGTGGTAGGTTAGAACTTAGGGTTTGTATCACGCTTATTTCTCCACAAACACGAATTCTTTGCCAATTTCTGACATCCTTACAGCTAAGACCAAACTCATATACTGTTGTCAAAAACATCATATTGTTACCAACTTTAAGGACATAAAGAGAAAGGATCAGTCTCAAATAAGTGAGACCTCCATATGCTTTTACAATTGTAGCACATTTTGTAACATCATTAACAATGAATAACGACCAGTTCCAAAATAATCCACGAATATCATCTATCAATTTCTGAACACAAAACCACGGATATCAATTGAAGACACCTTAAATAATTTTGATAAACATTAGTACTTAGAGTAGGCTTAGTATCAGGCAGTATTCCTCCCCCGCCAGACGGGTGCTGACCAGTGAATACTGTTTGGTGTTGTGTTAGGTTAGAACTTAGAGTAGGGTTAGTATCACGCAGTATTCCTCCCCCGCCAGACGGGTGTTGAGCAGTGAATACTGTTTGGTGTTGTTTAGGTTAGAACTTAAGAGTAGGGTTAGTATCAGGCAGTATTCCTCCCCCGCCAGACGGGTGCTGACCAGTGAATACTGTTTGGTGTTGTGTTAGGTTAGAACTTAGAGTAGGGTTAGTATCAGGCAGTATTCCTCCCCCGCCAGACGGGTGCTGACCAGTGAATACTGTTTGGTGTTGTGTTAGGTTAGAACTTAGAGTAGGGTTAGTATCAGGCAGTATTCCTCCCCCGCCAGACGGGTGCTGACCAGTGAATACTGTTTGGTGTTGTGGTAGGTTAGAACTTAGGGTTTGTAACACGCTTATTACTCCACAAACACGAATTCTTTGCCAATTTCTGACATCCATACAGCTATGATCAAACTCATATATACTGTTGTCAAAAACATCATATTGTTACCAACTTTAAGGACATAAATAGAAAGGATCAGTCTCAAAGAAGTGAGACCTCCACATGCTTTTATAATTGTAGCACATTTTGTAACATCATTAACAATAAATAACGACCAGTTCCAAAATAATCCACGAATATCATCTATCAATTTCTGAACACGAAACCACGGATATCAATTGAAGACACCTGAATTTTGATAAACATAACTACTTAGAGTAGGGTTAGTATCAGGCAGTATTCCTCCCCCGCCAGACGGGTGCTGACCAGTGAATACTGTTTGGTGTTGTGTTAGGTTAGAACTTAGAGTAAGGTTAGTATCAGGCAGCATTCCTCCTCCACCAGACGGGTGCTGACCAGTGAATACTGTTTGGTGTTGTTGAAGGTTAGAACTTAGAGTAGGGTTAGTATCAGGCAGTATTCCTCCCCCGCCAGACGGGTGCTGACCAGTGAATACTGTTTGGTGTTGTGGTATGTTAGAACTTAGAGTAGGGTTAGTATCAGGCAGTATTCCTCCCCCGCCAGACGGGTGCTGACCAGTGAATACTGTTTGGTGTTGTGGTAGGTTAGAACTTAGAGTAGGGTTAGTATCAGGCAGTATTCCTCCCCCGCCAGACGGGTGCTGACCAGTGAATACTGTTTGGTGTTGTGTTAGGTTAGAACTTAGAGTAGGGTTAGTATCAGGCAGTATTCCTCCCCCGC